TGTGTCAAGCACATTTGTACATATGTTGCCATCATCATTCTCAAAACATTTGTTTTCTACTTGAGCCCTTGGTATCAGCTCCTCGTTTTTCCCTTCCCTCCTCCACCCTCTCTTCTTCCCTCCGTCCCTCCCTCATGAACTCTTGCTAATTTATTTATTTATTTTCATGTCTTACACTTTTCTGTTGTCCATCCCCCTGAGAGGGGGCTGTAGGTAGAGCTTTGTGATCAGTTCCCCCTTTCTTCCCTCACCTTCCCCCTAACCTCCTGGTGTGGCTACTCTCCATATTGGTCCCGAGGGGTATCTCTGTCCAGCATTCCCTGTGTGTCCAACTCTTAGCTAAGGAAGAAACTCTTTTGAAACTGATTTGGGGAACAGTGGTAGACCACTGCTTGATATGATTGAGCCATGCAATGAATGGTATGATGTCTGAACTAGCCCTAAAACATTGGGGTTTTTTTGGAAAAAATAAAATGGTTTTTGGGGGGTGAAAAAAGAATTCTATAATCAATTCCCTTGACATCTACTTTCCAAATGACTACTTCTTATCAAGGTCTCTACAATAATCAGGAAGTAGTCCTCAAGCAGGAGTTAACCTTCCAACCCCCTGATTCAGACTGCCAGGGAAACAGCTAAAGCATACCGTGGAAAGCCAATGGCCAGATCTAGGAAGCCATCAGCAAGAGTGATGGCACAAACACATGGCCAACTCAGAATAAACACGGGGCCATCATGTACCTAAACATGGTCAACTCACAATAAAAATGGTGGCCATGATGCTCACGGTACCAAAGGATAAGTTGTTGTAGCTGATGTCGCTTATGATGTTGGGAAATACAGAGAAACTAAAGATGATTAGTGGTTACCAGGGGAGTAAACTTAAAAAAAAAAAATAACAAACTAAATTTCTGCCATCCAGTCGATTCCAACTCATAGGGCCCTATAGGACAGAGTGCAACAGCTCCTGTGGCTCCTCAAGAACATAACTCTCGCTCTCTCTTTTTTAACATGGAACGCTTCCCAAATGTGTGTGTCATCCTTGCGCAGGGCCATGCTAATCTTCTCTGTATCGTTCCAAGTTTAGTATACGTGCTGCCAAGCGAGCATGAACAGAGCTCTTTTTATGGGAAGGGAATTTTTGCTTAGGGGCATGGAGTTTATGTAAATGATGGTGGGCCCGAGAAGAACAGCCCCATCGAGTGAGTGGTCAAGGT